CAATTATCAGCTGCAATAATATGTATTAGAATACATATATATTTTAAATTTTTATTCATGTCACCATACCACTGTCCTCTTCCCTGACCTTTAAACCCTAAATCCTTCCCCCTTCTCTAATCTATCTAAACATCACCTATTCAAGCACACCATAGAATAAGAAATCAATATATTAAGTATCCAAAAATAGGCAAAAATTTGGGCATCTACCCAGATCATTACAAGTCAAGTGAAGACACTTGCATATCCGGTCATTGTTGTACTATCCACATATAGCCAAGGTATTGAAACAGCCCAGATGCCTTACAACAGATAAGTGGGGATCAATAAAATGGGGCATATATACACGGTAGAATTTTACTATCCATTAGAAAAAAGTAAGATGTTGTTTTCAGGAAATAGACGGACCCAAAACACATCATGCTAAGTGAAGTTAACCACACTCAGAGAGACCGAGAGAATTATGTTTTCTCTTATGTAGATGCTAGACCTAAAATACAACTGGTCGTGTTAACTTATACAGGACTCTAAGGCATTCCCACAAAGACTTAAAGGAGGATACTCTTAGGGGAGGAACAAATTTATTTATCAAAGCTAATTCCAGGAAATGGAAACATTGGGGTGTGGGGGTTGTTGTTATTGTTGGTGGTGGTAGTTTTTGCTTTGGGTATTTTTTTTTTATTTTAGGAGAGAAGGAGTAAAGGGAGGGATAAAGGAAGGAGGGAGGAAGGATGAACAATGCTCTTCAGCATACACTATGTAGAAAATGACCTATGTAATATGTTGGCAAGGATGTGAGGGGGGAAACGGGGAAAGCAAATGAAGGGTGACACTGTCTAAAAAAAAAGAAATATGGGCTGGGAAGGTGGCTCAGTGGTAGAGCGCTTGCCTGAGGCCCTGGGTTCAATTCCTCAGCACCACATAAGCAAAAAGAAAAAAGCTGGAAGTGGCACTGTGGCTCAGGTGGTAGAGCGCTAGCCTTGAGCTGAAGAGCTGAGAGTCAGAGCCCAGGCTCAGAGTTCACGCCCCATGACCAGACCCCCCCCCAAAAAAAAAGAAAAAATAAAAAAGAAATATACTCATTACCTTGTAACTCCTCTGTACAATATCTTAATAACAAGAATAAAATTTTTTTAATGTTTTTTAAATAGGCAAACATAAGCTTTGAAAAGATAATGAACAGACTTAAAAGATTCCAGTCTGCATTATTATTGAACTTTTAAAGAAAAAGCTTTTTTGTTATTTTGTTTTGCTTTTGTCAGTCATGGGGCTTGGACTCTGGGCTTGGGCACTGTCCCTGAGAAATTCAGCTCAAGGCTAGCACTCTACCACTTGAGCCACAGTGCCACTTCTGGTTTTCTGGTGGTCAATTGGAGATGATAGTCTCATGGATTTTCCTACTAGACTGGCTTTGAACTGTGATCCTCAGATCTCAGCCTCCTGAGTAGCTAGGATTACAGGCGTGAGCCACCGGCACCCAGCAGAAAAAGCTTTTTTGTCTCATTTTTTTTGTTTGCTGAGAGTCACAGTATGTATCTTAAGTCTGATCTTGATCTTTCTGAGTCAGCTACCTGATTACAGATTACATACACTCCCATGCCTAGCTTAAAAAGAAAGAAGCATCCCTAAGAAAAGGTATAAAATAGTGATCTGTTAATATTTAAACAGAAAGATTCCACTTCATAATTTTTTTCCATATATGTGTAAAGAGAAAGTAAGTATTGGGTATATAAGGTGACAATATCCAAATTAAGTTATTTTACTAAACATATGTATAAAATAATATATATAAATATATATACACACATATATGTGTGTATGTGTATATATATATATGTGTGTGTGTGTATATTTTTTTAATTTTTTTTTTTTTTTAGTTCTGGGGCTTGAACTCAGAGCCTAGGCACTGTCTCTGAGCTTCTTTTGCTCAATGCTAGCACTCTAACACTTGAGCCACAGCTCCATTTATGGCTTTTTCTGTTTATGTGGTACTAAGGAATTGAACCCAGAGCTTTAGCTAGGCAAACACTCAACTAGGCCACATTCCTAGCCCAAAGTTATTTAACTATTTTAAAAACTGCCTGATATAAATACTTCTTTTTTATTTCACATCTCAATAGTCAATCTACATTTTCAGAAGGCCAGGTTAGTCATGGCTTTATTGTAAAGCTGTTACCAATTTTAGGTAGGAGGATAATAGAATGAACACACAAGCAAGTTTTAAATAAATCAGAAAAATTAAAATATGGTAACCATTTAAATTTGCCTCTCAACATGGCCTCAACTTACATACTATTAATTTGCTTAAGAAATAGGAACCGAGGGGCTGGGAAGGTGGCTCAGTGGTAGAGCGCTTGCCTTGCATGCCTGAGGCCCTGAGTTCGATTCCTCGGCACCACATAAGCAAAAAGAAAAAAGCTGGAAGTGGCACTGTGGCCCAAGTGGTAGAGCGCTAGCCTTGAGCTGAAGAGCTGAGGGACAGTGCCCAGGCCCAGAGTTCGGGCCCCACGACCGGACCCAAAAAAAAAAAAATAGGAACCGAACTAATGAGGAAGATGAGCAGAGATTAGAGGTTCCAGGCTAGTCTAGGATATATAGTAAGATCCTGTCTCAGAAAAGAAGAAAAAGAAGAAAGAAATTGGCATGATGTTTCTTTATCTAAAAATATTAATACAGTGCAAGGCCTGAAATCTGATATTCTAAAGTCCACCCAAATCTTGCTTCCATATAACCTTGTTAGAATACTTAATCTCTCAAGTCTTATTATTGATAAAATGAAATTATAATGTTAATACTATTTCTGCAATATGAGACTCCAATAAAGCATTAGATATAAAAGAGCTTCACAAACTTCTAAATGCTTTCTTTATAAATGTTCATATATCAAGAGAAAATAAGTAAATTCCAAACATTGTTTTTCAATAAGCACAATTACATTTCTATTAGATTCTATACACACAGCGTCTTTCAGATTAGATCCAGATCTAACCAAAGCACCACAAACTATGTGTGTGGTGGTGGGGGTTCTCTGATAGTAAATTACTTAACAAATATCCATCATTTTCCTGAACTTAGTAATCCTATTTTATCAACAATCTAAAAATCGGGGCTGGGAAGGTGGCTCAGTGGTAGAGAGCTTGCCTGGCATGCATGAGGCCCTGGGTTCAATTCCTCAGCACCACATAAGCAAAAAGAAAAAAAGCCAGAAGTGGCGCTGTGGCTCAAGTGGTAGAGCGTTAGCCTTGAGCTGAAGAGCTGAGGGGCAGCACCCAGGCCTAGAGTTCAGGCCCCATGACCAGACCCCCCCCAAAAAAAAAAGAATCTAAAAATCAGCTGGGCACCAATGGCTCAATGATGTAATCAAGAGGCCCAAGATTTGAAGCCAGCCTAGGAAGAAAACTCTGAGGGACTCCATCTCAATTAACCAGCAAAATGTGTGGCTCAAGAGGTAGAGTGCCAGGGGCTGGGAAGGTGGCTCAGTGCTAGAGTGCTTGCCTTGCATGCCTGAGGCTCTGGGTTCGATTCCTCAACACTACATAAGCAAAAAGAAAAAAGCCAGGAAGTGGCACTGTAGCTCAAGTGGTAGAGCGCTAGCCTTGAGCTGAAGAGCTGAGGGACAGCGCCCAGGCCCAGAGTTCAAGCCCCACGACCGACCAAAAAAAAAAAAAAAAAAAAAGCCAAAAGTGGCACTGTGGCTCAAGTGGTAGAGTGCTAGCCTTGAGCTGAAGAGCTGAGGGACAGCACCCAGACCCAGATTTCAGGCCCCACAACCGGACCCAAAAATAAAAAAAAAACAAGACATGCAGTAAGACCACGTTCCAAAACCAAGAAAAAATTCACTCATGGGCCTAGGATGTGGCTCAAGTAGTAGAGCATCTGCTTAGCAAGCACATGCCCTAGTCAAACCAAGTACCACAAAAAATAATTTTACTCAAAATATTTTTATTTTTATTTTTTTTAGTCCGGTCATGGGGCCTGAACTCTGGGCCTGGGGGCTGTCCCTCAGCTCTTCAGCTCAAGGCTAGCGCTCTACCACTTGAGCCATAGCACCAGTTCCGGCTTTTTTTTTATTGCTTATGTGGTGCTGGGGAATCGAACCCAGGGCCTCATGTATGCAAGGCAAGCACTCTACCACTGAGCCACCTTCCCCGCCCTCAAAATATTTTTATATATTTTATATTTTAAATATTTTTTAGTAAAAAAAAACTGTATTTACTTAGAAGCATTCAGAATGACAACAAAACAGCTGCAACTTTTTTATTTTGCAATTACAGAGTGGTATTAACAGAACAATTATTTCATATAAGCTCTGTCAGACAACTGAAAATGAAATAACTACTGTCTTGTTGCTGTGCACAAACAAGAACCTGCTTTAAATTTCCATGCTAGTTTACAGCCCCTATCTTGTACAAGGCAAAGTTAGTGGCTACTGAAAATACTACCAGAACAGGCTATCTAATCACACATTCTGTAGTGTGTTAACTATCCAAAAAAAAAGACACTGTACAGTTTAAAACAAATCTTACACAGCCTTACATTTCAATTTTTTTCTTTAAAAAGAGTGAGTTGTGGGGGCTGGGAAGGTGGCTCAGTGGTAGAGCGCTTGCCTTGCATGCATGAGGCCCTGGGTTCGACTCCTTAGCACCACATAAGCAAAAAAAGAAAAGAGCCGGAAGTGGCGCTGTGGCCCAAGTGGTAGAGCGCTAGCCTTGAGCTGAACAGCTGAATGACAGTGCCCAGGCCCAGAGTTCAGGCCCCACGACCAGAACCCAAAAAAAAAAATTAAAAAAAGAGTGAGTTGTGTACAGGGAAGTTAAATGCTTTACAGACAAGAAAAAAAAAACTGCACTAGTACCAACTTATTCATCATTATTCTCTTCATTTTCATCCTCATCCTTTTCATCTTCCTCTTTTTCCCTGTCCTCTTCATCATCTTCATCTTTCTCCTCTTTCTTCTTCTTCTTGTTCTTTTCAGCCTTCACAACTCCCTTTTTTGCTACATCAGGTTTTCCTTTAGCACAGTGCGCAGCAATATCCTTTTTGTATTTTTCCTTCAGCTTAGCAGTCTTCTTTTCATAAGGATGATTGTCATCTGCAGCAGTGTTGTTCCACATCTCTCCCAGTTTTTTGGCAACATCACCAATAGACAGGCCAGGATGTTCCCTTTGATTTCAGAGTAATAACTCAGAACAGAACAAAAAGAAGGCTGAAGGAGGCCTCTTGGGTGCACTGGGATCCTTGAACTTCTCCCCTTTGGGAGGGATGTAGGTTTTCATTTCTTTTTCATAACCAGCCTTGTCTGCCTTGGCCATCTTGGCCATGTCTTCAAATTTCCCTTTCTCTTTAGCAGACATAGTCTTCTACCTCTCTGAGAAGTTGACTGAAGCATCTGGGTGTTTCTTCTTGTGCTTGTCCCAGAGAGTATACACAAAGAATGCATATGATGACATTTGCATCTCAGCTTCTTAGGATCTCCTTTGCCCATGTTTAGTTTTTCCTCCACAAGGAACAGAGCTGCTTGATGCCCATCTGGCTCTCACTTGCCCCTTTGCTATATCTAAGGAGTTCAATGTACTGCAATGACTATCCATATGTCAAATCTTTTAAAGTATTTTTGTTGTTGTTTTGTTTTTTGCCAGTCCTAGAGCTTAAGTGCAGGGCCTGGGCACTGTCCCTGAGCTTCTTTTGCTCAAGGCAAACACACTACCACTTGAGCCACAGTGCCACTTCCCACGTTTTCTGTTTATGTGGTACTGAGAAATCAAATCCAGGGCTTCATGCATGCTAGGCAAGCGCTCTACCACTGAGCCACCTTCCCAGCTCTGGGGCTGGGAAGGTGGCTCAGTGGTAGAGCGCTTGCCTTGCATGCCTGAGGCCCTGGGTTCGATTCCTCAGCACCACATAAGCAAAAAGAAAAAAGCCGGAAGTGGACCCCCCCAAAAAAAAGAAGTTTTAGTGGAAGTATTGTATATACATGTATCTAAGCAGAACAATGAAACTTGTCAAAATTGTCTTAAGAAAGGTACAGAGGGATGAGGGAGAATGATGAAGAGATGAAATTAATGAAATACTTAGTTATGAATGTGTATTTGAAAACATCACAATGAAACTCCCCCCATACAACTAACAGATACTAATAGAAATCTTTTTTTTTTTTTTTTTTGTCGGTCATGGGGCTTGAACTCTAGGCCTGGGTACTATCCCTGTGCTCTTCAGCTCAAGGGTAGCATCTACCACTTAAGCCACAGCACCACTTCAGGTTTTCTGGTGGTTTATTGGAGATAAAGAGTCTCATAGTCTTTCCTGTACAGGCTGGCTTTGAACTCTGATCCTTAGATTTCAGCCTCCTGAGTAGCTAGAATTACAGGCGTGAGCCACCGGCACCCAGTGGTAATAGAAATCTTAAAATTACAAAATACAGAAAATTGGAATGCCAGATTGGCAAATTAGGGTAAATGCAACCCACCGGTCTGTAAGTACCTCCTTAAAAATCCAAATACTCACACCAGGAGCCAGTGGCTCACCCCTCTAGCTACTTCAAGGCTGAGATCTGAGGATCAGGGTTTAAAGCCAGCCTGGGTAAGACAATCCACCAGACTCTTATCTCCAATTTACCACCAAAAATCCAGAAGTGTAGCTGGGTCTCAAGTGGTAAACCACTAACCTTGAACAACAACAACAAAAAAAAAAAAGCTCAGGTCAGTGCTGGTGGCTCATGCCTATAATTCCAGCTACTCAAGAGAATTGCAGTTCAAAGCCAGCCTTATCTCCAGTTAAGAACCAGAAAAACAAAAGTGACACTGTGGCTCAAAGTAGTAGAATGAGCTTTGAGCAAAAAAACTCAAGGAGCCGGGTACTGGTGGCTCACGCCTGTAATCCTAGCTACTCAGCAGGCTGAGATCTGAGGATTGCGGTTCAAAGCCAGCCTAGAGAGACTGTGAGACTGTGAGACTCCTATCTCTAATAAACCACCAGAAAACCGGAAGTGGCACTGTAGCTCAAGTGGTAGAGCGCTCACTTTGAGCTGAAGAGCTGAGGGATAGCACCCAGGCCCAGAGTTCAAGCCCCATGACCGACAAAAAAAAAAAAAAAACTCAAGGACAGGGCCCAGGCCCTTAGTTCAAGCCCCACAACTGTCAAAAACATAAAAAAACTCAGGAGAATGCAGATCCTGAGTTTAAGGCTCCAGGACTGGTGTGCGCACATGTGCACGCATGTGCATGCGTACACACACACATACTCACACACACAAAATTGAAGAAATCAATTCTACCATTCACATATTTAGGAATTCTTTGTTCAGTGTGATTATAAAGACAAAATTCTCAAGACCAACCAGAACCTTTGTGTATGTATGAACTACTTTCATTTCCAATATATACTAAACTACTAATGAAATGTGAAACCTGTGTCATATTATCTAGACTGACTTACCATTATCTGACTTTATACATTCTATTTCTTTGTGTGGAAGGTTTCAACTTATCTGGCAAGGTCAACCCATTTTTGCTGGGTTGCAACTGATTTTAAAATAGGAGAGCCAGGCTCTGGTGGCTCATCCCTATAATACTAGCTACTCAGAAGACAGATCTGAGGATTGAGTATCAAAGCTAACATGGGCAGCGAAATCAAGATTCTTATCTCCAATTAACCAGCAAAATGCCAGAAGTGAAGCTGTGGCTCAAGTGGTAGTACGCTAGCCTTGAGCACGAAAGCTCAGGGACAGCACCCAGGCCTTGAGTGCAAGCCCCAGGACAAGCACACATACAAATAATAATAGTAATAATTATAATAATAATAAATAAGCAAGCAAGAATATAGATATAGAAATTCTACTCCTAGGTGTATACCTAAGAGAACTGAAGATATGTCCACACAAAAATCTATACGTGCATACTCATAGCAGTGATCTCTCAACGAAATATTGGCATATAAATGAACAAAATATACCTATGGAAAACAAATGAAGTAGTGATATAAGCAACGACATGAATAAACTTTAAAAACCTTATACTTCCTGAAAGAAGTCAGTCACAGAAGGCTATGATCCCAATGAAAAGACATATCCAAAATAAATATACAGACAGAAAAGACAGTTGAGTATCATGGGTATGGTTATGAGGGTTTGGGGGCAATGATGATGTAAAAGGGGGAACATCCTTAGACCACATTCCAGACATTTGACCAGAACATTATTTAACCAACAAATCAAATTATTGAGTCAGTTCTTACCATCAAGTATTTCTTTTCCTCTTGGTCTTGGCACATTGAGATGGCATCCTGAGGTGGAATCATATTCCATAGCCCATCACTCCCCAAAATAATGTACTTGTGCTTCTGGGGGTCAAGAGTATGAACACTTGTGTCTGGTTCAGGGGAGACCACAAACTCACCACTGAAGAAATCATAGCTCCACAAATCACCTGGGGGAATGGAAGAAAAGATATAAGAAGTATTTCCAAGCTGGTAGTGTCACAACAATACACTAAAGGAGGAATATACATGTTCATTTTCATAGATGTAGACAAGCATTTGACAGTATTCAGAAGTCCATTCATAACTTAAAATATTTTGCACATAAATAACAAAAGAGAGGGGTTGGCAATGTGGCTTAAGTGGTACAGTGCTTGCCTAGCATGCATGAAGCCCTGGGTTTGATTCCTCAGTACCACATAAACAGAAAAAGCTGGAAGTAGAGCTGTGACTCAAGTGGTTGAGTTCTAGCCTTTAGCAAAAGCAGCTCAGGGACAGTGCCCAGACCCTGAGCTCAAGCCCCAGGACTGGCAAATAAATAAATAAATGGAACTCTCTTGAACTGATAAGAATATACATCAAAAATGTGTAGCAAGGGCTGGGAAGGTGGCTCAGTGTAGAGCGCTTGCCTTGCATGTTCAAGGCCCTGGGTTTGATTCCTCAGCACCACATAAGCAGGGAAAAAAAAGCCGGAAGTGGTGCTGTGGCTCAAGTAGTAGAGTGCTAGCCTTGAGGTGAAGAGCCGAGAGACAGTGCCCAGGCCCAGAGTTAGGCCCACAACCGGACCCCCCCCCCCAAAAAAAAATGTGTAGCAAGCCAGGTGCTGGTGGCTCACACCTTTAATCCTAGCTACACAAGAGGCTGAGATCTGAGGATTGCAGTTCAAAGCCAGTCCAGGTAGGAAAAGTCCCTGAGACTCTTATCTCCAAAAAACTACCATAAAATTGGAAGTAGCATTGTAGCTCAAGTGGTAAGAGCACTCACCATGAGCTGAAGAGCTCAGGGACAGCACTCCAGGCCCAGAGTTTAAGCCCCACAACCAAAATAATAATAATAATAATACAGTAGTAGTAATAATGTATAGCAATCATTTATTTAAGTTTTTAAAATATTTTATTTAGGGCTGGATGTGTTAACTCACTCCCATAATTCCAACTACTTGGGAAAAAGATAGGAGGATGGAGAAGCAAGATCCCCATCTTAAAACAGCTGGGAATGACATTGAAAGCCTGTCACTCCACTTACATGGGAAGCATAAATAGGAGAATCATGGTCAAGGCCAGCCCAGGCAAAAAACTAAGATCCTGTTGGGTGCTGGTGGCTCACACCTGAAATCCTAGCTACTCAGGAGGCTGAGATCTGAGAATCACAGTTCAAAGCCAGCCCGGGCAAGAATGTCCAAGGGACTCTTACCTCCAAAAAAACACTAGAAAACCGGAAGTGGCATTGTAGCTCAAGTGGTAGAGTGCTAGCCTTGAGCTGAAGAGCTCAAGGACAGCACCCAGGCCCAGAGTTCAAGCCCCATGACCAACCAAAAAAAAAAAAAAAAACCTAAGATCCTATTTCAAAAATACCTAAAGGAAAAAGGCCTTGGGAATGTAGCTCAACTGGTAAAATGCCTGTTTTTACGTCCAAATCTCTAAGTTCAAGCCCCAGTGCCACTTCTGGCTTTTTCTGCTTATGTGGTGCTGAGGAATTGAACCCAGGGCAAGGCAAGTACTCTACCACTAAGCCACCTTCCCATGTACTGGATAGTCTTGTATATAACCACATTCAAGAAAATTTTCTGGTTCTTAAGTAATATTCTTGACCCAAGAAAGTGCTCTACCACTAAGCCCAACACTTTGGCTCTACTCAACCCTAATAATTACTTATTTTGCAGTACTGAGATTTGATCTCATGGCCTACTTGCTAGGCAAGTACTCTACACCACTTGAGTCATGCATCCAGCCCTCAATATCATATTTTTAGTATCCAAAATATATTCAAAATTCATTCAATGCATTTAGTTGTCATGTTTGTTGTTGTTGTTTTAGCTGGTTGTAGGGCTTGAATGCAGGGCCTGAACAGTCCCTAAGCTGTTTCACTCAAAGCTAGTGCTCTACCATTCTGACCCACAGTTCCACTTCAGTTAGTTTTCAGGTAGTTAACTGGCCATAAGAGTCTCATGGACTTTCCTGGCTGGGCTAGCATTGAACGGTGATGCTCAAATCTCAGCCTCCAGAGTGGCTGGGATTACAGGTGTGAGCCACCAACCCCCAGCTCTGTCATATTTTTAACTCAAAACAGTCACTTGGGCTTTTTGTTTTTATCTTTCCCAGAACTGTCAATTGTGGGGGCTGGGAAGGTGGCTCAGTGGTAGAGCACTTGCCTTGCATGCATGAGGCCCTGGGTTCGATTCCTCAGCACCACATAAGCAATAAGAAAAAAGCCGGAAGTGGCACTGTGGCTCAAGTGGTAGAGCGCTAGCCTTGAGCTGAAGAGCTGAGGGACAGCGCCCAGGCCCAGAGTTCAGGCCCCACAACTGGACCCCCCCCAAAAAACAAGTAGAACTGTCAGTTGTGAAAAGTTCACGCCCATTGTTTCATGGATGATCCTTACGTTGACATTTATGCTTTTTGGGGGAGAAAGGTTCAGTGCTGAGAATTGAACCCAAGACCTCATACACACTCAGGCAGTACTTCTTTTTTTTTTTTGGGTCGGGTCATGGGCCTGAACTCTGGGCCTGAGCGCTGTCCCTCAGCTCTTCAGCTCGAGGCTAGCACTCTACCACTTGAGCCATAGCACCACTTCCGGCTTTTTTTTTCTGGTTATGTGGTGCTGAGGAATCAAACTCAGGGCCTCATGCATGCAAGGCAAGCGCTCTACCACTGAGCCACCTTCCCAGCCCCGTCAGGCAGTACTTCTATCATTAAACTGCACTCTCAGTCCCTGACTTTTAATTTGGATTTATCTAATAATTTCCTCATGTTCTCATGAGGAAGGGTTCATGCTCAGGTTAAATTTTTTGTTGTTTTTAGAGTATTACATTGTTAAAATCATATCCCTCTCAGTTTATGACTTAAGAAAGAGCTGTATGCTATTAATAGCAATGCCAAGTTTGGTCATTTGGTTAAAGTGCTGTCTAATGACCCTATAAAGATGCCTTTGTCCTAGTTATGTTTGTTTCAATGCTAGGAATCAAATAAAGGGCCTCACACTTGTTGGGCAAGTGCTCTACCACTGACCTATAGCCCCAGACCATGTTTTTTTCCTTTTTGTAATTGATTATTTATGAAGCTGTGGAGTGACAACTCAGGAATATAAATATACTATATTTTAGTATTCATTGAAAATCCTTGATTATCCTGTCTTCTATTTCTTTACAGTGTTTCTTTAAACAGTATGGACATACAGATTACTTTTTATATATTTTATGGAAGCAGTATGAAGGTTCCTCAAAAGACTACACATAGAGCTGCCCTATGACCCAACAATCCCACTTTGGGGTATTTACCCAAATGATCACAAACAAGGCCATACTAAAGCTACCAGTACCCTGCATTCACCATAGCTAAGACATGAAACCAACACAGATGCCCCTCAGCAGATGAATAGATCAAGAAAATGTGGTTTATACACAATGGAATTCTATGCCTCCATCAGAGAGAATGACACCACCCCACCCCATTTGGAAAGACTTGGAAAAAATTATATTAAGTGAAGTAAGCCAGGCCCAAAGAAACATAGGTCCCATGGTTTCCCTTATTTGCAATAGCTAGTATATGTCTAGGACAAGCAGAAAGGTTAAAAGCTATGAACATATGACCAGATAAGATAATGGTAAGCCAAATGAACCCCAAGATAGGGGCACAGAGATTTTTATCTTTCTTGCTGTTGTTATTAGTGTACTTAAAATATACTATGTGATTTTTTTGTTTCTTTTATATGTTCTTGCCCCCCCCCCCCCCGCCAATGGTATAACCCTATTTTCACTGTATTTAATTCCAGGGACCTGCATCTTGTATATACATTTTTCTAATTTGGGGAGGGGAAGGAAAATAACAAAATGCTAAAATAAGGATTCAGGTCGACCCATTGTGGCAATGAGATGTACAAGACACTATGTTGAAAATGAACTTTACAATTTGTGGGGGGGAAGGAGGAGTTGGGGAGGTGAGGCGGGAAGAAATAGTAGGGGAAAAACAAAGGAGGGGTAACAATGCTCAGTAGGAAATGTACTCATTACCTTACTCATGTAACTGTAACCCCCTGTACAGTATCATTACAATAAAAAATATGTATTTAGTAAAAATGTATTTTTAACTTGCTCCTATTATAACTTGTCCTGATAGTCAAGCTGTTTTAAATATATTTGTAAAAGTCCCAAGGAGGGCTGGGAAGGTGGCTCAGTGGTAGAGTGCTTGCCTTGCATGCCTGAGGCCCTGGGTTCGATCCCTCAGCACCACATAAGCAAAAAGGCCCAGAGTTCAGGCCCCACGACCGGACTCCCCCGCAAAAGAAACAAAACAAAACAAAAAAAGTCCCAAGGATCTGAACTTTTAACAAATTCACCAGATAATTTTTATTCATAGCTAATTCCCTTGTCTTACATATTCAAGAAATCTACATAGCTTTATCAAATACCCATAAGGATCAGAACTGAGCACTGGCGTAGGGTTTGTTCACCAAAATAAAATCAGTCAGTTCTGTAGGTCCTGAAAGAAGGAAAGTCCCTGACATTAGCAGAACTGGTTGGCTGCTAGCTGAATAATTTCCTGTTTGATCTGCAGAGGGAGCTGAAGGTACACCAAAGGAAAATAAGCCTTTCCCCAGGTTCAAGTGCATTCTTCTCAACCTGCTCCTGTGGCAGTTTATGGGATACTCAGCAAACTTCAGCACCATCCTCATACCCCTACACTCTGGCTGGCCTCCCATGGAGAGCCTCTTTAGAAATTTGCCTTCTAATCAGAGATTACAGTGGTGGCTTAAGTGATAAAGCATCTTACACTTTAACCTTTTCCTTTGGAACAGAAAAGCCTCACAGCATAAGCACACGCTCACATGCACACACGTGTACACACACAATTAAAACTGCAATCAAAATCATTGTATGTGTACACATGCTCACATGTATGTGCTAGTACTAAGGGTTAAACTCAGGGCCTGGCTGCTATCCCTTAGCTTTTTCACTCAAGGTAGATGGATGCTCTACCACTTGATCCACAGCTCCATTTCCAGCTTTTTGCTGGTTTATATATAAACTTGTTTGGAGCTGGGAGCATGACTCAGTGGTAATGCACTTATCTAGAATGTGTGACACCTTGAGTTCAATCTCTAGCACTGCAAAAAAAAAAGAAAGGAACTGTGCTCAATGGCTAAATGGTTTCTTTTTTAGTATATGTGTAGTGGCTAGGCAAGTGATCTACCATTGAGCCATATCCCTACCTAGACTATATCATTTGGGGGTTGTTGTTGTTGTTGTTTCTATTGAGACAGGGTCTCACTAAACAACTCAAGCTATTCTGGAAATAGAAATCCTATCTCAGCCTATGGAGTACTGGAATTACAAGTGTACACCACCATACTTAATTCTCCCAACCAATTTCTCATTTCCCATTTGCTTATCATCTATTCAAACACACATGCACAGTTATAAAATCTTCATAAAGAACTGCATGTATTTGATTAAAAATCAGTAAGACAATGCATGGTAGAAAGAACAATTATTTATATATCTATTGCTGAGGAACAAATCCAAGGCTTCATGCACTCATGCACACTAGGCAAGGCACTGTATCACTAAATTAAACCTCTAGCTCAAGAATAATTTTTCCCCCCCGGTCGTGGGGCTTGAACTCTGGGCCTGGGTGCTTGTCCCTGTGCTCTTCAGCTCAAGGCGAGCACTCTACCGCTTGAGCCACAGCACCACTTCCGGTTTTCTAGTGGTTTATTGGAGATAAGAGTCTCTTGTACTTTCCTGCCCGGGCTGGCTTTGAACCATGATCTCAGATCTCAGCCTCCTGAGTAGTTAGGATTACAGGCATGAGCCACCAGTGCCCGACTCAAGAATAATTTTTGTTGTTGTTTGTGTTGTATTGGTCCGGGACTTGAACTCAGACCTTGGATGCTGTTCTTGAGATTTTTATGCTTAAGGCTAGCACTCCACTACTTGAACTACAACTCTACTTTTGGGGTTTTTCTTGTTTTTGTTTTTTGGGGTTTTTTGGGGTGCTTAATTGGAGATAAAAGTCTCACAGGCTTTCCTGTCCAGGCTGGCTTTCAAACCACAATCTTCAGAGTCAGCCCCTGAGTAGCTAGGATTACAAGCATGAGCCACCAGAGCCCAGCAGATATTACTCTTCATCTTAAAATACCCTATAGTGACACCAGGAACCAGTGGCTCAAGCCACTGAGATAACCTATGTCTACCTCATCAACTCCAGCCTGTTAACAATTCCTAGCATATGTCAATCTCTTTCCAACATCAGAATCCATGCCTTGAATATTCATACACAGGCTCTTCAGAAAATTACCCCTTCTCAGACTTCAAACCTCAGGTAAAGCTGGGCGCCGGTGGCTCACGCCTGTAATCCTAGCTACACAGGAGGCTGAGATCTAAGGATCCTTAGCCCAGGCAGGAAAATCCCTGTGAGACTCTTATCTCCAATTAACTACCAAAAGACCACAAGTGGCGCTGTGGGTCAAGTGATAGAGCACTAGCCTTGAGCTGAAGAGCTGAGGGACAGCGCCCAGATTTCAAGCCCCACAACTGATGAAGAAAAAAAAAGACCAGGTAAAATAACATTTTCTACGGTCTGGGAAGGTGGCTTAGTGGTAGAGTGCTTGCCTTGCATGCATGAGGCACTGGGTTCAATTCCTCAGCACCACATAAGTAGAAAAAGCTGGAATTGGCGCTGTGGTTCAAGTGGAAGAGCGATAGCCTTGAGCTGAAGAGGTAGCTGAGGGACAGGGCCCAGGCCCAGAGTTCAGGTCCACGACTGACCAAAAATAATAATAATAATAATAATATTTTCTAGCTGGGCACTGGTGGCTCACAACCTGTAATCCTAGCTACAATGGAGGCTGAGATCTGAGAATCACAGTTCAAAGCCAGCCTGGGTAGGAAAGGCTGTGAAACTCATCTCCAATAAACCGCCAGAAAACCAGAAGTGGTGTTGGGGCTCAAGTGGTAGAGCTCTCGCCTTGAGCTGAAGAACAGCACTCAGGCCTAGAGTTCAAGCCACATGACCAACAAGAAAGACAGAAAGAAAGACTGGCCAGCCGGCAGAAAGACAGGAAGGAAGGAAGGAAGGAAGGAAGGGAGGGAGGGAGGGAGGGAGGGAGGGAATTTTTCTGAAAGTAGTATTTGGATCACCCTATCTAAATTTTCTCTCATAAATTATTCCTTATCATAGAACCTTGTTTGTTCTTATAGTCTGCATTTCACCAAATGTTTAAGTCCTACTTACCAAGAGCTCTTGCTACTGCCAGAAAAGGAATCTGGTCAATAACTGTGCTCCTTCTAACAGGTCCATTGTGAGTAAGCCGAGGTCTTTTCCAAACTACACGATTCACCCCAGACTTGTTCATTACACTAAAAAATAAAAAAATTTTCATGAATGATTTAAATGGTTAAAACATAACAATTAGAATTTACATAAAGTCTAAATGATTAAAATTTAACAATTAAGATAACTTGATGTATTAAGATTATATTATCATAAAATACCTGTTTCAGATACAAAGAAGTGTAAGTTTTTTCACAGAAAAGACAAAATAAGATATTACATGAGGAGAATGTGGAAATGATTGAAGGCTGGACTTAACTAAATAAAAATAGTATGCAGAAAAAGAACAGATACCATGCTATAGAAAAAAGCTAGATGACCATGGTAATTAGAAACAACAAAAAGGAGCTTCTGTAGATGCAAAGAGCTGAGAAAGTGGCTCAGAGGGGTTGGGAAAGTGGCTCAGTGGTAGAGTGCTTGCCTTGCATGCATGAGGCCCTGGGTTTGATTCTTCAAAACCATATGAGCAGAAAAAGCTGGAAGTGGCACTGTAGCTCAAGTGGTAGAGTGCTCGCTCACCTTGTACTGAAGAGCTGAGGGACAGTGCCCAGGCCCAGAGTTCAGGCCCCACGACTGGCAAAAAATAATAATAATAATAATAAAGAATCGAACCCAGGGCCTCATGCATGTAAGGCAAGCACTCTACCACTGAGCCACCTTCCCAGCCCCCTCCAAATTTCTTTTGATATCCTTTGGTGAATTAATGCTGTACTGATGCTTTAATTGGAGATTGTGCAATGTCCAAGTACATCAAAATCCTATTATTAACATGATGGTAATTGTTCTTACAACTTGGTAGTGAAATTCAATGAAGACAAAACAAATGATATACTGTCAATATGACTGAACTCAAAAACACTATTTATGCAATTATCACTTAAAAATATTGTATCAGCCAGCACCAGTGGCTCACGCCTGTAATCCTAACTACTCAGGAGGCTGAGATCTGAGGATCATGGTTCAGAGCCAGCCCAGGCAGGAAAGACCGTGAGATTCTTATCTCCAATTAACCACCAGAAAACCAGAAGTGGTACTGTGGCTCAAGTGGTAGAGTGCTCGACAGCACCCAGGCCCAGAGTTCAAGCCCCATGACTGACAAAAAAAAAAAGATATCAGTACAACTTATACATTTGTTTGATATTATTTTTATGATTTGGAATAAAAGACATTTTATGTCTAAAAAAGAGAGGTGAGACTAGACTTCGGAAAACAAATCAGCTATACAGTCATAAGTAAGAAAACCCACCTGGAAATTTACCATAGGAACAACCAAAACCTGTAATTAGTAAAACATTCAAAATACACTTTCAAAATATAATAGTTTCTGAATTGTGCCTTGCATAACTGAAATGGGATTTAAAAAAAAAGACATTTCAATCTAAAGAAAATCTCTGTCCATAGAAATTTAAAATGTTCTTCTGAAGGCTAGAAAAAGTTGGGACATAAAGCATTTCTAAGAAATAATACTGGGGCTGGGAATGTGGCTTAGTGGTAGAGTGCTTGCTTTGCATGCATGAAGTCCTAGGTTTGATTCCTCAGTACCATATAAGCAGAAAAAGCCAGAAGTGGTGCTGTGGCTCAAGTGGTAGAGGCTAGCTTTGATCAAAAGCTCAGGAGCCGGGCGCTGGTGGCTCACGCCTGTAATCCTAGCTACTCAGGAGGCTGAGGTCTGAGGATCACGGTTCAAAGCCAGCCCAGGCAGGAAAGACCATGAGACTCCTCAATAAACCACCAGAAAACCAAGTGGCACAGTGGCTCAAGTGGCAGAGTGCTCGCTTTGAGCTGAAGACCTGAGGGACAGTGCCCAGGCCCAGAGTTCAAGCCCCATGACTGACAAAAAAAAAAAAGCAGCAGCAGCTCAGGGATAGTGCCCAAGCCCTGAATTCAAGCCCCAGGAGTGGCAAAAAAGAAGGTAGGGAAGGGGAGGGGAGGGGGGGAGGAGAAAAAAAAAGGGGAGAAGGGGGAAGGGAAGGGAAGGGAAGGGAAGGGAAGGGGAAAAAGCTGGATGCTGGATGCTGGATGCCTGTAATACAAGCTACTTGGTTTGAAGCCAGCCCAGGGACCAAAAAGCCAGAAGTAGAGACATAGCTGGAATGCCACCCTTGAGCAAAAAAGCTGAATGAGAACTGGAGGCACAGAATGCAAGTCCCAGTAGCTTGTATATTTTTTCTCTCTTCTCTCTCTCTGCCTCAGTATACTCATATTTATTGGTTCATTCTTTCTCCTCTCTCTCATTCACTCATACACACACAGACACACAGACACACACACACACACACACACACATATCTATAGGCGATATGCAAACTAGTTGAAATCATTCACTGGGCACCAGGATTGAATCCAGGATCTCAAGCATGTTAGTTATGTACTCTACCACCCAAGTAAACTCTTTAGGCCAATACATAGAGACTTCAATAGGATCTCACATTTTTGTCCCAGTTGGCCTAGAACTTCAATTCTAACCAAGCTCTCTCTCATAGTTAGACCCATAGGCATAAAACATCACATCCAGCTTACAGGTTGAGGTGAGATTTCACTGACTTTTTTCCTTGGCTGGCCTCAAACCATAATGCTCCTGATCTCTGCCTCCCAAGCAGGTAAGATTGCAGAAGTGAATCACCTTATTGTCAGTTAATTTTCTAATCATTAGTAAGTAATATGACACCTTGGCATATATTTATATCACTTTCTTAACAGCTTATTGACTTTGAGTGGCTTGGCTCCATCTCTCTAAACCTGATGAACACTAAATATTTCTGCACTGAAAGTCACCAGGCTTCAAGATAAAGAAAACTGAAGACAGGGGCTGGGAAGGTGGCTCAGTGGTAGAGCGTTTGCTTTACATGCATGAGGCCCTGGGTTCGATTCCTCAGCACCACATAAGCAAAAAGAAAAAACCCGGAAGTGGCACTGTAGCTCAAGTGGTAGAGCGCTAGCTTTGAGCTGAAGAGCTGAAGAAGGACAGCGCCCAGGCCCAGAGAGTTCAGGCCCCACAACCAGATCTAAAAAATAAAAATAGAAAAAAAAAAAAAAAGAAAACTGAAGATAGCAGGTAACTATGACTGGCTGAAACACAATGTCATTATGATACATCCTACACTTAAGGAGCACCTACAGAGTTTACCTCTATGACTTTTCCACCTCAGTTCAGAGTTTGAAGGAATGAAGATGCTAAGAGAAAAACAAAATAAAAGTCCTAAAGAAGGATTTGGCTTATAAATAAGAAAAGACCAATTGTCCTCTGAGCCAAGAAAAACATGAACTGAACAAGTAAAAAGCTTCAATATTCTTTCTAAAATAGAAGACAAGTTTATCTAAAGAGGGCAGGCCAAGAACAGTTGCCTAGCATATATATAGCAAGGCACTAGGTTTGAGAAATACCACCACAAAGTCAATACAAATAAACAATCAAATAAAAAAATAAAAATAAAAAATAAACAATCAAATAAATGCCAGGTGATTTGCAATGACAGAAATGCTTGTTTTGCACTGTCCACAGTAGCCACTAGCCAGTTTAGCCAGTAAGCATTTAAATGTGACTAGGATAATGAGGGACAGATTGTAAATTCAATTTTTATCTATTTAAATTTAAGTAGTCATATGTGCCTACTAGTACTTAGAATATTGAAGTATGCAATAAAGGACTGAAACAAGTACATAACTAGAAAATGTAGCTGTTAACACAGAGCAGAAAGTCACTCATTTACCCTACTAGTCTAATTCTAAGTTCTTGAAAGCCAACATCTAAGTCATAACAAGAGTTAGTGTCAAAGGCATTTTATTATATACTGTGCTTTCTTCAATGCTGATTGTAAAAAAAAGAGAAAAGTGACTTTCCCATTCATGAAAATCCATGAAACATAAGAATTATGATGAGAAGGTCTGCCAACATCCTGCCTTCAAACTACCTTAAAATCCTATTGTTCTTTCTTAACCCTTCACTCTAAAAGACTTAATATTGGAGTTGGGAAGGTGGCTCAGTGGTAGAGCACTTGCCTTGCATGCCTGAGGCCCTGGGTTCGATTCCTCAGCACCACATAAGCAAAAAGAAAAAAGCCGGAAGTGGTACGTGCTGTGGCTCAAGTGGTAGAGTGCTAGCCTTGAGCTGAAGAGTTGAGGGACAGCGCCCAGGCCCAGAGTTCAGGCCCCACAACCGGACCAAAATAAATAAATAAATAAATGACTTAATATTAACTAATTAAAGTAGCTGCTTCCAATAAAACTATACTAGGAACTCTGTCTTGTTATTTAATATTCAAAGACATTATAGTCTCTATGTTTCTAAGGAGCAAAAAGACAATGGTGCTGGTTAAACATGTAAGTTTTAAATCCAGTGTCAAAAAAACAAAGCACTGTTACAAAAGATGCTGCTTTCACTGCACTCCCTTCTGTTGTCCTATATGATTAAAAGGCATATAAAAAGCAACAGCCTGACATGCAGGGAGCTGACTGAGCAGCAACAGAAGGCTGGAAAAACAGAATGCTGGCCAATTGCCTAGGTTGGGGACAGAGGGAATAGAGGAAATACATCATAAAATGGCTCAATTTTTACAAAAAGACACCTGCTCCCAAATGGCAAAGAACATCAGTCCAACTGTCCAGATGGTATTTTAAGTGATAAGGGACAAAATATAAACTCTTTACAAATGTTATTGAAGTCAAAGAAAATATAACATTAAAATTCATGTTGAGGGGCTGGGAATGTGGCTTAGTGGTAGGATGCTTGCCTAGCCTGCATGAAGCCCTGGGTTCAATTCTTCAATACTACATACATAGAAAAAGCCAGAAGTGGCTCTGTGTGTGGATCAAATGGTTGAGTGCTAGCCTTGAGCAAAAGAAGCTCAGAGACAGTGCTCAGGCCTTGAGTTCAAGCCCCAGGACTGGCAAGCAAGCAATCAATTTAAAATATTCCTGCCTTTTCCTACTATGTATACCAGCTTTATTTCAGCTAAGATCAAATTAAAATATCCTGACAGACTGAATAGAGAAGTTTTGAGACTCTATCACCTATACATAAGACATTAAAGATACTTGTAAAAACATAAAACAATACCATTTCTCTTGTTAAATTTTTTTTATTTTTGGTCTCACTATAGATATGGAACAAACCCAAAAGACCTAACAAATAAGATTGATCAAAAACATTCTTCAGTGGTAGAGTGCTTGCCTTGCATGCATGAGGCCCTGGGTTCAATTCCTCAGTACCACTTAAGCAAAAAAAGCTGGAAGTGGTGCTGTGGCTCAAGTGGTAGAGCATTAGCCTTGAGCTGAAGAGCTGAGGGACGGTGCCCAGGCCCAGAGTTCAGGCCTCACGACCAACCAAAAAAAAAAAAAAAATCTTCAGCCAAGTGCTAATGGCTATATGATCTAGCTACTACTCAGAAGGCTGAGATGTGACGTCAGGGGCAAACAAATCCTTGTTTCCAATTAACCAGCAAAAGGCCATAAATGGAGGTATGGTTCAAGAAGCAGAGTGCCAGTTGTGATAGAAATAGACCCCTGAATTCAAGCTCCAGTACTAGCACACACACACACAAAAAAGGAAACAGGTAGCATAACATCCAGTGGCTGAGGGAGACAGATCAGGAATTCCAGACAAGCATGGACTACAGGGATAGGCAGAGAATGAGAGAAGAGGAGGAGGAAGGGAAATGGAGAGAAATACAGAGAAAGAGAGACAGAAAAGAGAATGAACACTAAACAGAACCAAGAGGAGAAAGACAAAATAGAATGATTACCTCCCGCCAAGTCCTTCGATTCGTTCTCTTTCTTTGGGAAGTTCTGGCTTATGGTCTTGTGTTACCTCCACAGCTCTGACAAAATCATCCTTTGGGTCATCCTGAATTCCAAGGACTACCCCTGAGTCACCTACATGAGCCACATACATTTTCATGCCTCGGATGATGACCACACTGGCAGTTGTCCCTGATGTGCTGGGAAGACCTGTCATAGTTTTTGGCCATTCTGCTGTAAAAAGAAATAAAGTATTTTACTCTTTCAGTAAACATAGTGTCAGAATACAAACAGAAACAAATTCTGAATTAATTTGTTCACATGTGAATATACAAAGAAAAAAATTTAAAGAAAAATATATTGGGGGCTGGGAAGGTGGCTCAGTGGTAGAGTGCATGCCTTACACACATGAGGCTCTGTGTTCCATTCCTCAGCACCACATAAACAGAAAAAGCCAGAAGTGGTTCTGTGGCTCAAATGGTAGAGTGCTAGCCTTGAGCCTTGAGCAGAAGGACAGCACCCAGGTCAAAAGTTCAAGCCCCACAACCGACAAAAAAATAAAATAAAATTGCAAATGCTTATGCTAATCCATTATTTAATACATTAATAAATTTTATAAATCAGGGGCTGGGAAGGTGGCTCAGTCGTAGAGCGCTTGCCTTGCATGCCTGAGGCCCAGGGTTTGATTCCTCAGTACCACATAAGCAAAAAGAAAAAAGCCGGAAGTGGTGCTGTGGCTCAAGTGGTAAAACACTAGCCTTGAGCTGAAGAGCTGAGGGACAGCACCCAGGCCCAGAGTTCAGGCCCTACAACTGGACCCAAAAAATAAATAAATAAAAATTAAAAAAATAAATTTTATAAATCATTTTAACTATAATAAAACTGTCAAACCAATCTTGCAAGAAATAAATCACTGGCAGGCTTATAATCTCAGCACTCTAGAGACTGGGGCAGCTGGATCATGAGTTTGAGGCCAGCCTGGATCACTTAGTGAGATCCTGTCTCAAAAAACATGAATGGATGAATGCAACACAGAGAAGGTTATCAACTTTGCATCAATCAAACAGAGAGGCAGCTGCTTAGCTCTTCTGCAGTTGGGTAGTAGAAAAATTCCTAAAAATTCTGCCTATAATATTTCTCCAGCCCCTTTGTGCCTTAACTACCTCTTGATGAGGCTATAAATATCTAGAGTAGATTCTATATTCTACAGTTAAGAATGTTTAAAAAAAAAAAAGAACAAAAGCTATTATAATAAATGTGAAGAGAGGTGATAGCCTAAGCCTAAGTACCACGCAAGACATTCAGGAAACATTAAGTTATCTTTAGCATACAAATAATTCAGCCATTCACAAAAAGTATCTAAATAACAAGATGGTAATGAGATGAGGGGGCAGAAATAAGTAAAAATTCAGACACAATATTATTTACATCACAATTTGTCAATGGCACATGTAACATGTACAAATATTTTGTAATGACCTGAAATTCATTTGACATTTCACCATAATCCTATTAGAATATGTCTCAAAAGGAGTCCTGCATCCAGCCTACTAACCTATTTATATTATCTTCTAGTAAATGGCGTTTATGTGTTCCCCATTTATTCTTTTTAAAATTTTTCGGCTGGAAATGTGGCTTAATGGAAAAGTGTTTGCCTAGAATGCATGAACCCCTGGGTTTGATTCCTCAATACCACACAAGCAGAAAAAGCCAGAAGTAGTGCTGTGGCTCAAGTGGTAGAGTGCTAGCCTTGAGCAAAAGTTCAGGGACAGTGCCCAGTCTGGGTTCAAGCCCCAGGACTGGCAAAAAAAAAAAAAACTTTTAATTAAAAAAAAAAAAAAAGCCAGGCACCGGGTAATCCTAGCTACTCAGGAGGCTGAGATCTGAGGATCTCGGTTCAAAGCCAGCCAGGCAGGAAAGTCCCTAAAACCCTTACCTCAAATTAATCACTCAGAAAACCAGAAGTGGCACTGTGGCTCAAGTGGTAGAGCACTCACCTTGAGTTGAAGAGCTGTGGGAACAGTGTCAGGCCCAGAGTTCAAGCCCCATGACAAACAAAAAATAAAAATAAAAAGTAAATAATTCATGTATTTTTCTTCAATGAACTTTATAAACTTGCAAAATTAAAAAACAAACCCCTTTTGAGATTTTGATTCAAAGTGCAGTTTTTTTTTTTGGTCAGTCGTGGGGCCTGAACTCTGGGGCCTGGACGCTGTTCCTCAGCTCTTCAGCTCAAGGCTAGTGCTCTACCATTAGAGCCACAGTGCCATTGTGGCTTTTTCTGCTTATGTGGTGCTGAGGAATAGAACCCAGGGCCACATGCATGCAAGGCAAGCACGCTACCACTGAGCCACCTTCCCAGCCCTAAATTTTCTTTCTTAAGTAGCCCTAATTGCTTAATTTTTATCTTTTTTTTTTGGGGGGGGCCCATTGGGGGCTTGAACTCTGGGCCTGGGTGCTGTCCTGCGCTCTTCAGCTCAAGGTGAGGAGGGCTCTACCACTTGAGCCACAGCACCACTTTCAGTTTTCTGGTGGTTGAGATGAGTCTAATGAACTTTCCTGTCCAGGCTGGCTTTAAACTAAGATCCTCAGATCTCAGCCTCCTGAGTAGCTAGGATTATACCCATGAGCCACCTGTGCCTGGCTTCCTTTTTTCAATGACTTAAAACTAAGAGCATAAAAGGATATGGCAGTAAATGAGCTCTGACTTAAGTATTCTTTGTGTGTGTGTACGGTACTGGGAACTGAATCTAGGCCCTTCCATAGGCTAGAACATCACTCTACCTACCACTTTAGCCATGGCCCCAGCCCTTTTTTTTTTTGGGACCAGTCGTGAGGCCTGAACTCTGGGCCTAGGCACTGTTCTTCAGCTCTTCAGCTCAAGGCTAGCACTCTACCACTTGAGCCACAGCGCCACTTCCAGCTTTTTTCTTTTTGCTTATGTGGTGCTGAGGAATCGAACCCAGGGCTTCAGGCATGCAAGGCAAGCGCTCTACCACTGAGCCAACTTCCCAGCCCGACCCCAGCCCTTTTACACTATATTTTTGAGTCTCCAGGCTGGGCTCAAATTCCTAATCCTCCTAATCCTCTGCCTCCACAGTCAATGGGATTACAGGTGTATGCCATCATACCAGCTGTAAATATTAGCAGGTGGAAAAGACATATACAAAACCTGTGAATGTGACCTTATTTGGAAAAGGGGTCTCTACAGATGTAAATAGGTTAAGAATCTTAAAATGAGATAATCCTGGATTAGAGTGGGCACTAATACCAAAGACAAGTGTCCTTAGAAGACAGAAATGGGGAAGGCAGGAAATAAAGATGCAGACTAACCTTGAAGAATGCTCAAGAACCACCATCAGAGGCTGGAAGACACATGAACAGACTTACCTCACTAATTTCAGACTTCTGATTTCAGATTTGCCTCACTTCATTTCAAAACCATGAAAGAATAAACTCCTATTGTTTCAAGGTACTCAGGTTTTGGGAATTTGGCACAGCATGCCTAGGAACTTATGTGTCTGTTTCTCAAATTTTCATCCTCTAGTTTTAGTTACATGATGTTTCTGAACTGAACTTATTATTATAATCCTAATTGTGATTTTTATCTTGCCTTCTACATCATTGGCTATTCTACTGTTGAGAAAAGCTTTACGAAGGGGTGCTATTGATCAAGAAACATTGTACTTACAAATTGTTTTGTTAAATGGATATCCCAATGTACAACTAAAGGTAATAAAAATATAACTTCATAAAGAAAAACTTTATAGCTAGCTGTGTGTTGGTACATGCCTGCAAACCCAGCTACTCTAGAGGTAGAGGCAGGAAAATCACAGTTCAAAGTCAGCCTGGGCACAGGTAGTACCAGATACTGTACTCAAAACAAAAGGGGTTAGGGATACAACATACATGGTAGGATGCCTGTATATCACGTAAGAAGCCCTGGGTTCAATTCTCAGTACCAGTGGATGGGGGAGGGGAGTGCACGCGCACGGAGACTTTATAATCACAGGATATGGCTCACACTTAAAGCAGTGGCCTCACATGGTCAATGCCCTAGGTTTGATCCCCAGCACAGCAAAATCAAAAACTAAACAGCAGGGCTGGGAAAGTGGCTTAGTGGTAGATTGCTTACTTAGCATGCATGAAGCCCTGGGGGTTTGATTCCTCAGTAACACATAAACAGAAAAAGCCAGAAGTAGTGCTGTGGCTCAAGTGGTAGAGTGCTAGCCTTGAGCAAAGGGAGCTCAGGGACAGTGCCCAGGCCCTGAGTTCAAGCCCCAGGACTGGCAAATTAATTAGTTAATTACTTGATGGATTAAAATTAACAACTGCAGACAAACCAGAGCTTCATCACCATAGATAAAGAAATTTTAATTCTCAATAAAAAGGAGCTATTGATATGTGCAATAACCTGAATGTATTTCAAAATAACCATACTGACTATCAAAAAATACATACTGTAAGAGTTCATTCATACAAAATTCTAAATAGCACACTAATCTACAGGACAGAAAGAGGGTCAGGGGTTGTCTGGGAATGGAGACAGAAAAGACGAGGAAAAAGATAGTCATCCTTCACTGATGAAGATTGTTTCCTGGACTCTGACAGTTATCAGTACTGAATGCTGGCCGGGTGTCAGTGGCTCACACCTGTAATCCTAGCTACACAGGAGGCTGAGATCTGAGGACCATGGTTTAAAGCCAGCCCAGGCAGGAAACTCCATGAGACTCATATCTCCAATTAACCACTCAGAAAACTAGAAGTGGTGCTGTGGCTCAAGTGATAGAACTCTAACCTTGAGCTGAAGAGCTGAGAGGCAGCGCCCAGGCCCAGAGTTCAAGCCCCACAACCGACCAAAAACAAAAAAAAAAAAACCTGTAACTTATTCCTTACAACATCACGGGGTGATCACTATCACTCCTTTTTAAAGCTTTTCTTTTCTTTTTTGCCAGTTATGGGGCTTAAACTCTGGGCCTGGGCACTGTCCCTCAGCTCTTCAGCTCAAGGCTAATGCCCTACTACTTGAGCCACAGCGCCACTTCCGGCCTTTTTTTTTCTGCTTATGTGTTGCTGAGGAATCGAACCCAGGGCCTAATGCATGCAAGGTAAGCACTCTACTACTGAGCCACCTTCCCAGCCCTAAAGCTTTTCTTGACAGTCTCCATCTCCAACCTTCCATTGTAAATTAACAAAATTGATAAGCCAAAATTATAAACAACAATTTAACTAATTTTACCTTCTTCCTAATTCCTTTGGTTATATGCTTTATTTTAATTTTTATTGTCAAGGTGATGTACAGAGGAGCTACAGTTACATAAGGTAGTGAGTACATTTCTTGTCGAACTTGTTACCCCCTCCCTCATTTTTCTCCCTCTTTGCCTCCCTACCACCCCCACTCTCACCTTAAACTCTTTTAAAATGACTGTTCTACACTCAGTCCATGTTAAATGTGTAAATAAACTTTCACATTACATCTACCTTTATAAACACTGTGACTACTAAGTGAAAAAGCAAAGCAACAATGCCAGGAATTTCAACCTCCAGAACCAACACAAAACAAAGCAAATAAAAAAAGCCTGTGCTGGTGGCTCATGCCTGTAATCCTAGCTACTCAGGAGGCTGAGATCTGAGGATCATGGTTCAAAGCCAGCCCAGCCAGAAAACTGGAAGTGGCACTGTGGCTCAATTGGTAGAGTACTAGCCTTGAGCTGAAGAGCTCAGGGACAGCAGCCAGGCCCAGAGTTCAAGGCCCACAACCAAATAGCAACAACAAAAAAAGTCTGTGACTTATTCCCTGTAACATCAATGCTGTTATCTGTTGGTTCTCATATTATACACAGCTAAATGTTGTGCTTTTTTTTCACCATCCTCTTTAAGATTACCAGAGAAAGGGCTAAGAGCATTATTACAGGGGACAGAGATATAATTCTGTTTTTGTAGAGCTCTTGCCTAGTGTGCATGAGGCTCTGGATTCAAACCCCAGCCCTCAAGAAAAGGAAGGCTTCCTCAAATGAGTAAACTTGAAAAAGCTCATATAAATCTTATACCATTATTTCTTTTTCTTTTTTGCAGGTCCTGGAGCTTGAACTCAGGGCCTGGACACTGTCCTTGAGCCTCTCTGTGCTCAAGGCTAGTGCTCTACCACGTGAGACACAGCACCACTTCCAGCTTTTTCTGTGGATGTGGCACTGAAGAATCGAGCCCAGGGCATCTGGCATGCTAGGCAAGCACTCTACCACTAAGCCACATTCCCAGTTATATATAACGTTATTTTTTTTTTGGGGGGGGGTCCAGTCGTGGGGCCTGAACTCTGGGCCTGGGCGCTGTCCCTCAGCACTTCAGCTCAAGGCTAGCGCTCTACCACTTGAGCCGCAGCACCACTTCCAGCTTTTTTTTCTTTTTGCTTATGTGGTGCTGAGGAATCGAACCCAGGGCCTCATGCATGCAAGGCAAGCGCTCTACCACTAAGCCATCTTCCCAGCCCTCATAACATTATTTCTTAAACGTCAAGTATGACAAAAGAATATTAAACTGCTGGGCACAGTTCAAAGAAAACATGGCAGAAAAGTCCACTAGACTCCAAAAGAATCAGCAAAAAGCAAAGCTGGAGGTGTGACTCAAATAACACAGAACCAGTAGAGCAAGCTATGCAAGTGTGAGGCTCTGAGTTCAAGTGCTAGTATTCCCCATGAAAAAATAAACCAAGCCAGGCACTGGTGGATCAAACCTGTAATCATAGCTACTCAGGGGGCTGAGATCTGAGGATCGCAGTTCAAAGCCAGCCGGTTAGTAAAGTCCATAAGACTCTTATCTCCAATAAACCACCAGAAAATCAAAAGTGGCGCTGCGGCTCAAAG